GAGCTGAACAGATAATCAGTCCTCAGTCAGAGAGCTGGAGTAGCTCCACAGAGTGAGTCTGGGCAGGTCAGGATGCCAGCCTGACATTCCTCTGATGTGTGTGTGTGTGTGTGTGTGTGTGTGTGTCATGTTTTGAGTGTGTGTGTGTGTGTGTGTGTGTGTGTGTACTGTCCAGCTGGTGGGAACCTGGAGGAGTACTGAACTGAGCTGCTGCCGAAAAGTAATTAATGAACTGGTTTAAGCTGCCGGCAGTCCTGCAGTGCACCAGCTGATTTCTGTTTAAACCAGTTAAGAACAAAGTTGGTCGTGGAGTCGTTAGCTGGTCACAAAAAGCCATCTATTTATTATTTAGTGTTACTTTGAGTTTTGGTGTGAGATAAAAATATCAATCAGGGCTTTCTGGGTCTTTCAACTGCATCTTTGTCTAAGGATGAGGTTTGTTGTGTACACAGAGAATAATCCTTAAAGCATTCATGTTCTCAGATGCAGTCAAAAGTTTGCAGCAGTTTGTTTTATATAACTTTGTGAGTTTGGGTGAGATTTTTACAGGCAAGCTAAAACGAGGAGACGGGGGACCCATGGCCTACATCAGGATGTCATTACTCTGAAATGCATAGAGTCACAACTAAAAGGTGATCTTAGAATAGGATGCAATCGTGGAAGTCAGGACTCTCCATTTCCAGTTTGTGTCACACTTTTCACAGTTGTACCGCCCCATGGCAAGTCGTTTTTGTGTCTGCAGACAAATCAGCTTCTTCCATTACAACTACTGGCAACCTGCTAGTGATTAAAGCACTGTGTATAGCAGTGTTTGGCAATCAGCTGCATCCAGGAACCACTAAATGGTTGGGGGATACACACCTTCCCCTCATTGCTGGTGGCTGACCAGTCTGTGTGTGGCTGCAGTGTAAGCTGATTTACTATCAGGTAATATTATAGCTTGACTCTCACGATGCTCGTCATTCATCTCAAACATTTGCTGAACTATTTAAGTCCTTTTTTGCCTTGAGGTTCTGATAAGGTCAGACAGGT